GAGAGAGAGAGAGAGAGAGAGAGAGAGAGAGAGAGAGAGAGAGAGAGAGAGAGAGAGAGAGAGAGAGTACTTCCATCGATAGGATGAGCAAAATCAAATGAATCTAACATCGAAATACGTGTGTGTGTGTCTGATTCATTCCGATTTTGCTCATCCTATCGATGGAAGTAGCTACTTCCATCGATAGGATGAGAAAATTTGAATGAATCTTCTGCTAAAACATCAAAATATAGACTACTACAGTGTGTGTGTGTGTGTGTGGGTGTGTGTTTTGGGTGTGTGCTCATACGCACGCCAGGCCGCTTTACTCCGCGCTGGCTGAGCTCCGGCATAATGGCCGGCACACTACGGAATCCTGGCAGGGATGGTGAAGTGCGTCAACAATGGAACGAGCTATGCTGTGCAGCTGAGGCTCTTTAGAGTGCGTCAGAGCCGTGCAAATGCAGCGGTTGCCATACAAAGTGAATGAAAAGTATGAGGAACATATAGGCTGGAGGGCAAGGGGGAGGTGGGAGGGCAGACAATACATAAGCACAGAGGACAAGGAAGGACGAATGCTGGAGGGCACGGGGGAGGCAGAGGGACAAACGCCATGCAAACACACCCAGCTGACAGACCAGAAAAAAACGAGTCCCAAGACAGTCAAAGGACTGAAAAATATATAAAAATAAAAGCTGGTGATGAAAGATTGTTTCGTCAGAGTTGCACCGACTCATCAGGAGGCTGAAAGATTGCTGTCTCTCTCTCTCTCTCTCTCTCTCTCTCTCTCTCTCTCTCTCTCTCTCTCTCTCTCACACACACACACACACACAATCATACAATCAGTTTTATGTCTGTCTGTCTCTGTTAATTTTTTCTAAGCATTTTCTGTTTGTTGGAGTGAGCACCCTCGAGAAGTGCTAAACAGTAGGTGGTCCGTTGTTTGGAGCGTCTACAGCACTCTTAGGGGGGGCGCTCGGTTTGGGATGTCTGGGTTGCCTGTGGGTGATGGCGGATGTTCATCTGGGTGACTCCGTGGCTCAGCAGGTTGTGGGAACCAGCAGTCTGCGGGGTTCAATCATGATGTGAGTACGTGATGTGCCGCTTTGCTCGGTGTTGGATGTGTGGACTGCCTCGTCTGCGCTCCGCCGCTGCCTTGCTGCCTGTCCCGCTTGCTTCGCATGTGGTTCTCTGCAAGTTGATGTGTTCGCTGTGTGGTGTGGCTGTGTAGTTGGTGTTGCCTTGCGCTTCGCTGCTCCGCTGCCTTGCTGCTCATCGGCTGGTCGTGCCTTCCGTTTTTTGCTGCTTGCGTGCCTTGGAGGTTGGTTGCCTTGTGCTTCACTGCACCGTTGCCGAGATGCTGGTGCGCTCGCCCTGTCGACCCTTGCAGTGTGGTTGCCTTGCTTGTGTTGTCTTGTGCTTCACTACACAGTTTGCTGTGCTGTTCATCCGTCATCCGCTTGCCATGTCGTTCCTTGCAGCCGTCTTTGGCGCTGAGCAGCCTCCCTGTTCACTTCCCTGTTACTCCTCCCTTTTCTCTTTCCTGTTTACTACTCTTGTTTCTCGTGTTTAGTACCCACATTTCTTTTTCTTTGCTCAACTGCTTTAGAAACTCACAGGCACAGACTACGAGCCCTCTTCTCATGTGTCCCTTAACTTTCCACTTCCTGTGAATTACCCTCCCTTTCTTCTTCTTTTTTTGTCTATTGACTCTATTGAGTTTTTTGAACTCTATTCTGGTTTAGTCCCCATTTTCTCCTGCTTAGAAACTTACAGGCACAGACTAAGAAGATCCCTTTGTGTGTGTGTGTGTGTGTGTGTGTGTGTGTGTGTGTGTGTGTGTGTGTGTGTGTGTGTGTGTGTGTGTGTGTGTGTGTGAGGATGCGTGTGAACACATATTGCGTATGCCTCTGCACAGTAAAAACCATCCACCATACCATCGCAACACTTCAGGAGGAGAATATGCATCTGAGTGGAGTCAGTCTAGAGGCAAGGAAGAGACAGCAATGAAACACACAAGCAACAAACAGCAAGGCAACACATAGGCTGGAGGGCATGGGGGAGGAGGGAGGGAAGACAACACACAAGCAGCAGACACGACAGGCAGCAGCACAAAAAGAACAAGGGCTGGAAGGCATGAGGGATGCAGGACGACGGACAACACACAAGCACACAAGATTGGCAAATCAGAAAAAAAAGTAAAAGTCCAAAAACGTTTCAAAGACTGAAAAAAATAAAAACTGATGATGAGAGATTGTTTCGTCGGAGTTGCACCGACTCATCAGGAGGCTGAACCCTCGACAATCTGCGGGATCTTCCTATTGGATGGTTTAGAACTTTTGGGTCATGAACCTTTTGACCCATGTTGAAGGCAGACGGTACACAAGCGGAACACAGCAGCAGGGCAACAACTCAGCGAAGCACCAAGCAACGCTGTTGAGGCAACACGGAGCAGGAAGGAACAAACAGAAAAGAGAAAAACCTAGGAGGAGTTTGACAGGTGAGAGAAAAGAAAAGGGGGGAGTTGACAGGAAAGAGCAAAGGGAGCGTGCACAGGGGAGTAGTAAACAGCAAGGAAGAAGGAGAGGAACAGTCACAAAGGGAGACAAGAAGGAGAAAAACCGGAAAAGGTCTTTAAAAAAATCAGAGAGAGAGAGAGAGAGAGAGAGAGAGAGAGAGAGAGAGAGAGAGAGAGAGAGAGAGAGAGAGAGAGAGAGAGAGAGAGAGAGAGAGNAGAGAGAGAGAGAGAGAGAGAGAGAGAGAGAGAGAGAGAGAGAGAGAGGTAAGAGTGCAGATAGTGGTCACAAACACATGAGCAACATGAGTAGTCAATCACAGTTAAGTACTGAAAATTGACGACATAGACAAAAACTTGAAAGCACAAGCAGGTTCATCCGTCGTTCCAACACACGCAAGAACCCCCTTTCAAACCACAAAAACACCTTCCGTCGGATCACGCTGCTGTCCTTCGGATGAACAGCAGTCGAATCTAGCAGTAGACCTGAGAGAAGGTAAACCAGAAGGAGAAAGCAGAAACACCAAGTTACCTTAGGCTGACAGGAATGCTACATTGCTGAAGTTGCAAACAGCATGATGAGTTGAAGTATGCATTTTTTTTTCTCTCCTACCCTGCACCCTGCCGGGATGCAGAACCGCACAGCCCCCTGACGAGGCGAAAACCGACATCATCCAAGACTGCGAAACTCCAAACACCGTCAATGATCGCATGCCAGTCGGCTCTCGCCGAATGGGAAGCCCGTTTTGAATCTCACTCTTTGAGAAAAAAGCGCCAAAGACGATACCTCCTTGCTTGCAGAACGATACGGGATGATGGAGTCGAGATCTTGATCGTAAGAAGAACCATGCCCCTGTCCTGAGCCTATGGGCAACACTCCGGTCCGGTACTCTTCTCCATGCAGATTTACTCCGTTGTTGCCGCTTCACTTCCCGAAATACAGAAAAACACAGTGATCAAGGTATAGCAGTGCGATATTTAAGCACGAAGGTCCACGCACAAGATTTGTTCATTAAGTGAACGATCAACCATAACGATGATCGATTGTCAGGGTTCCCATGAGAATTCTCTCCAATGGCAGATTCACTCCAATGGCAGCACTTTGCTTATACCCCGGATAGTCCAAGCAGGGGATATGGGTTCCATTCCCGTGATCCGCAATTGCGATTTCATGAGGAAAAAAAAAAACTGAGATAAATAAAATGCGCGTATCAAAATTTAGAACTGGTCGACAAATCTTGCAAAATGTTTGGCAATTTGGCAAACAAAAGAAAACTGTTCCCGTTCTCTACGTCAACTTCGTTGCGGTTTCCCGATAATAAAAAAAATCCATGGATCAAAGAGAGCTTCTTCCCATGGTGTTTCCCCTTTCATTGCGTCCTATAATGAAGTTAGAATAGGATTGGGCTCATCATACCTCACACTTCCATTCCGCTCCGCCTGCTGCCCTCCATCACCAATACCACACAGCCTTATCCTTGAGCAAAACGGACTCATCTCGATGGACCTCAGGACCCACATTCCCTATATCCAAGTGCCATAATCAGCATACCAATTCCAGGTGACTTGTCCCGGAGCTCCGTCTCTGATGCCAGGCAACATACCCTCTTCTCTCCTTCTGGACATCTGTTCAATTGCAACGATACAGCGAAGATTAGCATGGCCCAAAAGGGAGGGGAAAAAAAAAAAAAAAAAAAAACATACTGGCTGGGCGGCGAGAACGGAGGTGGAATCGCCTTCATCAAGTGGGATGGCGGCCGAGCCCAGGAAGGCGAAGAAAGCAACCAGGATGTCAACTGGGAGTCGATTAAAAAAGACTATCGGCTCTGTTTCAGCGACTGGACAACAGTGGGCCAAGAGGTTCCGTTAAGGCCGCCATCGAATTTCCTGATCCCTTTCCACCCCACCAGCTGGCTATGGTGGACATGCAATGGTATGGAGCGGAGTAAGCAGAACAGCAACAGTTAAATGTGAGGGCGCCAGCATCAGACGACTGTGGCCACGGATCCTGTCACGGCCCTCCTCCCGACTCCCTCCCATCCTTTATTCACCTTCACTTTCACTTTATTCACTTTCTCAAGTGGAGGAAGGAACCAGTTTATTGCAGTAGATATATGGCGCCTGGTATGGGGCGAAGAGGTTCCGTCCCTGTCCCGAAACAACCTGCTCAGTTAATCCTCTGGACTCCAGAGCAATCAATGCTGGCAGGGCATTCTCCATTTCAGTCGGCATTTCACTCTGTATATGGGACGCTGGACCCGCTTTCCAGCAGGTGATGCTCCCCACCAATAGATCGAGCCTCGCCCCCGGTGCTAGCGGCGTCTGCTCTTATCAGCACCTCTACCACTGGAGGGGGTTGTTTTTTTAATTTAAAAAACAAAAACAAAACCCTTTGCCCTTCTTGATCGACAACCATCTTCTCAAAGGGTCATTCACAGCATGATCCGAAACTTCTTTACGCCTCGCAACTGGGAGTCCGGGAGTGCGGCACCGCTTGTCGTCCTCTACTACAGTGTCCCTTGTTGCGCAACTTGTCCGCAACAAATCGGCAGCCGCGGAGCCGCCTTTATAACCTTGGCAACACAAGCGCTTGAGACGTAGGGCCTCGCTCCACTACACAGCACTCTACATGTATCTGAACAGGGCCGCTGACCAATTGCATTCGGACTGGTCCAACAAGATTTGGAATGCATCTGGACTATTATTAGTTCGAGATACACAACATCCTTAGAATGCAGGAGATGCCAAGCCAAGGGTTAAAGCACACTACCACCAGACGACAGATCTTCCTGCTTTCCAGCTCAGCATCGGACCACCTATGCCCGACCTAAAAAATATTAGGGCACAACTCAGAGTAGGACCTCCTGAGACGTATCTGAACGCAATTACAGCCAGATTCTGTCAAAACACGCCAGTCTGAGAGCATCCCTTAGACTCTCAACTGCGAGTCACAACATCAGTCTCTTCTTCTTGGTTCCATTGTCATACAGAAGAAAAAAAAAAAGAAAGAAAAAAAAAAAAGAGACTGATATACCCAAAACTTGGCAAGACCAGGGTTAACGTCACAATGCAGAAAGAACCATTCCTTTTCTTTCTTTTCTTTTCTTTTTTTTTCTTTTTCCTCTTCTTTTTTTGGGGGGGGCCAAGGACCATTTCCATCTAGCGTAGTCTACACCGTAGCAATCGCGAATAGAAAGAGGAACTCGACGACACAACTGACATAGACCAGCCAAACGAGATAGCAGTGGGGTAAAGAAGAGAGGAGAAGGGAAGAGGAAGAAGATGAACGAAAACAGATGTAGCCCAAACACATCCCGAACGCGACTATTAAAAAATATAATCATGAGGCGCAGAATAGCGACGTGAAACGCTTGGCATCTGACCCGACCGGTTTCACGTGGCCGCCAACCTCGCTCTTCAAGGGGCTTTGAAAGTCAGTGCCAAAGACGGCACTCGAAAGGCTTTAAATCTGTTGTGATCTATCGTCACACGCCAAAGTTCGAGAAAGCTCGGTACTACCGTCTTCACCCGAATAGAACACCCGGTCATTATAGCTGTATTTGGCACAACTTTCGGTCCAGATGCAGCGATAATGACCGGGCGTTCTATTCGGGTGAAGACGGTAGACTAAAAAGAAATCATCCATCTAAACAGAGCCTAAGGAAACTAACAAAAATTCCAGGTCGAAAGTGGAAACCACCAACTCTACATATCTATAAAAAAAGAAAAAGTACCCTACCGCCTGGACCCTACTCCCGGATCCTCCATTTCCAAATCCATGGTTCAAAACTCAACAACGTATAAAAGCCACAAAAACACTTACCAAACTTCAGGTCCACGGTTCAAACTCGCAATTACCAGACTCCAGGTCCACGGTTCGCACTCCGAACTCCCGACCATAAAATTCCAAGTCCGCGGTTCAATCCCAAAAGAAACCAAGTAACAGACCCCCTGGACGTCCAATACCGAGTCGATCCCTCCCAGGACAAGACAAAAGAGAACTAAAAAAAGACAAATAATCCTACCGACAGGACCCTAAACCGGGATCCTAAGAGACCCCCGTACCAATACGCCAGAGCTTTTGTCCCACCCCCTGTCAACCAACCTTGATACCCACTGACCCCACAGACCTCAAAACTTATGTGAAAAACTAATGAGGGCGGTATCAAACAGGTCGTCGGGATAACCTCTTCTCCATAACTCAATCTTAAGTAAGTGCCATCAACAAAGGTGACTCAGTACCTTCAACAGAGGTGTAAGCTTTGGCCCAATGCAAAAAGGACCCAATAACAGCCATCTTCTGCTGCTTATTCGAATACGACACGTAGTCTTGAATGCACTGAAAGACCAGTGTTCCTTTGAGAACTTCCTTCTGATTCTTCAAAACAAGACAACAAATCACCCCGGTCTTCCCTTGGAGTGATCCTGAGTTCACAACCAAGATATTTCAAAGAGCACCCTTTGCTGGCACGCTCCAAAACCAAATTCTTATCATAACGGTTCTCAAACTCACCGATCATTGAAAAACCCTCTTTGTGACGGCATTTGAATCCAGCGGTTTCTTACACCGTACAAAAAAACAGAGACATCATTAACAAGCCTGAATCCAGCAAAAAATCTTCGATCTCCCCCCAAACTGAATAGGAATTTGAATTCATTAAATGCACAAAAGAGGCAAGCACGGGAGCCTGGACTGGTGGATTTACCCATTGGTATCCCAACAGTCTGTCGAAGAATCCGACCAGCTGCAGAAACATAAGTATTCCGCAACTCTAAACTCCACGAAACAAAAAATCACTTCAAAGGAGAGGGACTTCCAACCAGACTCGATTCGCCCTTTACTCAACTTAGCTCCCTTCCCATGTTTCCTGACAGCCACAGATTTAACCCCCTCACATTCCCAAAAGTCAATCACCCAATTCAATGCTTGCAAAATGGACACATGAGGTGAGTTCGAAAACATCTCCATCACGTCAAAGGAGGCCCCAATCAACCTACCTATCACCATCAGTCAAACCTTGGTTAACCTTCTTCATTGCACCCCGCAAATCGTCGGCACTGCGCAGGTTCAAATTTGACTTCTCAGGTAAATTCCATAGTAGAGCATTGACAGCACGCGAAACAATCCTTCCCCCTTTCGCCGAACACTCGGGGTACAACGGGCAGATCGGCCTCCAGCGCTCCACTGAAAATAGTAAAAAAAACATTTAAAAATGTCAATTTTAACGAAATGCCTGTTAACTCCCGAGTTCTGGTATGCGAGAGAGAAGTCATCCCAGATCTGATGGAAGTAAGTATCCCATAGGACCATGATTTCTGTCAGACTTACCAGTCCAAGAATAGAAGTCGGTCGTTCTTCTAGCTGCTCGTCAGGTGTCAGGCGTGTCAGACTGTTGGGGGGCTTCGATCCATCTCCAACCTCTGTAAACCCTATTTCTCTGTCTTGCTAAGCATTTCCGTGAAGTATGGTCGTCCTCCTCCGGAAGATGCAGAACTGTCGCTTCGTCCCGCGGCACTCCCGTTCGAAGCCCTTTCGTCCTAGCATCTTCCTCTGCTACCTCTAGTTCCATCTTCGCGTCTTTGATCAGTTTTTCAATGCCCTCCGGCCAAACCATCGTGTCCAGCTCGCCACAGATGCCAGCGGCAAAATCGTCGTACTCGATCGCTATGAACCCATTGAGAGCTGCCAGTGTGAAACTGTTGTGAACACCTAGAATGTGTGCGGCGCAGAGCGAGCGAGGCACCAAAGCAGACAACTTGTCAAAGTTCGGCAAGTCGCCTTTCAGCTCCTTTTCCATCTGCGAAACCTCTTCATCATACAAGATGAAGTGTTCCTTCCGCCAGCTGTCGATCCTATCCACAAAGGCCATTCCCAACATCAACCTGAGCGCACGAGCACAGTTGTCATGACACACAGGCGTCGTCCCCCCCACCCGCATGGGATCGTCGGCCATTACGGAATCACGCCCATCCAAAGACTTACCATCGACGGATCTTCGTTGACTTTGAGTTGCGTCGCCAAGGAGTCTTTCGACCAGAGTCCGGTGCTCACCTCTCAGAGTCCTGACAGCTCTCCTCAGGTCCTTGCAAAGATCGCATTCGGTAGCGGTTTCACAGGGCTGACAAGATGCACCACCACCCTGGTCGCCACGACGACCGCCGATCGGACAGTTTGGAGTTGCAACGCCGCCATGACCGTCAAAGGTAGGAGATGAAGGTCGCGTGGCCCTGAGAGCACTGGGTCTGATCTGCTCCTCAGACCCTGTCAGAAACCTGAAGCGCTCATTTTCACATTGAAATACCAACTGCTTTAGCTCCGAAATGCAGCGAAGCAGCGCCATCCAGATCCGATTGTCGCCGGGGGAACGGTCCAGATGGCAGGCAAACAGGAGCAGCGCATGAAGCAGTGTGAGGTTCCCAGATTCCCACGTGTCGCACAGCCAGCTCACTGCTTTAGGCTCCAAGGGGTCTCTGAGGAGCCATTCTTCATAGCACCTGCCCAATGCTTGTCCATCCTTGGGATGGATCGCTTCCAAGATCGCTGCGTACAGACCAAAGGGCTGTATTGTCTTCGACTTTCGGCAGCAAGTCTCGACTTCTTTCAGACACCTCAGTGTTTTCCCTGATGCAACTCGCAGCTCCACAAGAGCAGATAGAGCAGAGATCGAGTCGGGATCCAATGACACCACCCGTTTAAGATGCCGAACCGCGTTAGTGAAGAGCCGATGCGTCTTCTCACTCAGAATGGGGAGTTTATACGCCACAAGCCTTCTTCTGTGCTTGTCGGGCGCAAAGGGAAACAAGCGTTGTGTCCTTTCACAAACGCAAAGGGTTGTAGCACCTTTCATCCAAACCTCAACACCAATATCGCCTTTTACTGCATCTTCGTTGTCTTCCTCGTCATCTTCGTCGTCATCCCAGTCCTCCCAAACCCCCTGGGTCTCTCCCTTAAGATCCCCAACTCTGCCATATCCATCGGCACTATCATTGCATGAATCGCCATTGCCATCATCCCACGCACTCCTGTTCTTTTTCTTCCTATCCCCACCTCCTCTCACTGATCGTCCTTTCTTTTGGCCTCTCATTCTTGTCTTCTTCAAACTCTTTGGCGGCACCAGATAGTCCTCTGCACGAAGACCGGGACCACCAGATCCAGGATCAGAAGCACCACCTGCCACTGTGTTTTCCTCTCCCCCTCCCCCTCCCCCTCCCCCTCCCCCTCGAGCTCTTGAACTCACCTCTGCCGCGGCAGCATGGGGAGGGTCAATGTCCATGGCGCCCCGGCCACTCACAGCTTCCGAGTCGCTGAGGTGCGACATCGCATTTGATGAAAGGTCCTCCATGTCCTCATCATTCAGTACTTCCGCACTCTCCACGTCACCGCCACCATCCTTAGCACCAGCTTTGGCATGCAGACAGCTTGGTGCATTTCTCAAACGTCGATCTTCCTCTTCACTGGTCCGACGACCGAACTCCTCCCACCCATCACTCGCAACCTCAGTGCAGCCATCATAATCCTCAGGGTTGTCGCCATCAGGAAGCGCATGCTGATCATCCTCCTCGTCATGGCCGTAACCATCTCTGCTGCGATCATCACCCATGTTGTCATCGAGCAACAACGAACCCGATTCGCTAACCGAAAACCCTGCCGCCCGCAACTCTGCCACCATACCCTCTTTCCATAAACCATGAAGAGCCAGCCCGCAAAGAGCATGAACCTCCGGGTCCTGGCGGAAGTTTCCCACCCTGATCACCTGTCTGACCACATCATAGGCCCTCTGGTAGCTCTTCCTGGAGAGGAGGAAGGCTGCCAGCTTCATTTCCAATTTGCATTTCCACTCCTGCAGGCTCTGCAAATGGATAATCCTGCGATAAAACCGATAGATGACGTCAGTCGAGACTTGGCTGTCTCCTTGGAGGCTGGTGAACACTTGTGCATACTTGAGGCACTCGCTCCACTTCATCGACCCCCGCGCAGTCTCTTTGTCCAGTTCGCGAGCAGACGGTCCCATCGTCAACAACGCGGCGACAACTCCTATGGCCTCCTCGAACCGGGCTTCTGAGATGAGGATGTCCAGCATGGACTGCAAGATTTTCCGGTGATACGTAATGGCATGCGATTCATCCTCGTGTGGGCTATCAAGGTGGAGATGCCAGAAGTCCCAGTCCTCTTCTTCATGGGAATCCGAATCCATGGGTGCTGAATCAGGCAATTGACTAAGTCCCATGGGTGAGGCTCCAAGGGGCTTACCATCCCCGTCTTTTTCCATGTTTGCTCATCCACTTGGCCCCAGCCTTCTCCCAATTCCACTACCGAAGGGAGCCAATGCCGTCCTCTGCAAGTGCAGCTGCACTGTGTACCTGTATCTCTGTGTGTACCTGTGCTGTGTACCTGTCTGTGCATCTGTATCTGTATCTGTGCCGTGGACCTGTCTCTATGCAGTGTACTTGTATCTGCGTGTATATACGTGCCCACCCAAGACATGAAACAGACTCACAGAAACATAATGCCGCTTCTTTTTTTGTCTTTTTTCTTTTTTTTTCTTTTTTCTTTTTTTTCTTTTTTCTTTTTTTTTCTGTTAGCCCAGTTCTCAGACCAGCAGGTTCAGCACTCCTCTGTCTATACTTCCTCTTCCAGCAGGCCCGATACTCTATCAGTCTACTGACTCTACTGTCTATTCTTTCTCGTTCCAGCAGGTCCAGCAGCACTTTACTGTCTCTCTATCAGTCTACTGACTCTACTGTCTATTCTTTCTCGTTCCAGCAGGTCCAGCAGCACTTTACTGTCTATCCTTTCTCTTCCAGCAGGTCCAGCACCCCTCTGGCTATACTCTTCTCTTCCAGCAATTTCAGCACACCACTGCCTATACTCTCTCTTCCCACAGGTCCAACAGTTCCTCGCACATGAAACACACTCAGAGAGAGGCGATGCACCTTCTGGACCAACAGGTTCAGCACTCAGTCTGTTAGCGGACTTCTTAGACCAGCAGGTGCAGCACACCACTGTCTTCTATACCTTCTCTCCCCACAGGCCCAGCAGTTCCTCGCACATGAAACACGTTCAGAGAGAGACCATGCCACTTCTTGCGTTGCTTCCACTGTTAGCAAGGTTCGCATACCAGCAGGTGCAGCACTCCACGGTCTACACTTTGTCTTCCTGCAGGTCCAGCCCTCCACTGTCTATTCTTTCTATCTTCCATCAGGTCCACCACCCCTCTGGCTATACTCTTCTCTTCAGGCAGGTCCACTGTCTATACTTTTCTTCCCCGTAGGTCCAACACTTGCTCTTCAAACATGTTCTGCACTCCTCTGTCTCTGCTTTCCTTCCTCCTCTCTCTCTCTCTCTCTCTCTCTCTCTCTCTCTCTCTCTCTCTCTCTCTCTCTCTCTCTCTCTNNCTCTCTCTCTCTCTCTCTCTCTCTCTCTCTCTCTCTCTCTCTCTCTCTCTCTCTCTCTCTCTCTCTCTGTGCTTTCCCTTCTGCATCAGGTGAAGAGCAGTTTGCGTGTCTGGTGATTTGCAATCATGTAATCTGGACACTTCCGCATAAATAGACGTATATATATCGTCACAGAGAACTGCACATGTGTTTTTCTTCTTATAGGTGGAACGTCAACCATTCCACTGGTCTTGCCCTCGAATTGATGTAGCGGGTTTGTTGCCTCCGAAACACAAGGGATGCGTGGGGGAGGGAGAAGGTAAGAGGTAGGAAGGAGCAATCCCTCCTCAGCTGTCAGACCCCCACTGTGGCAGCAAAAGCTTGTTGATTGCCTTGGATCCGTCACCTATGTAGCCTTCGCATCGCCTTCATTTCATCCACGCCCAGAGTTAAACTCCTCAGACATAAGGATATAAAAAAAAAAAAAAAAAAAAAAAGCCTGGAAAACAGTGTGGGGCAAGCCAAAAACCAATAGTTGCGAAAAAAGAAAAAAAAGAAAAAAAAAAACATTAGTTGCAGTTGCAGGACAAATTAGAACGGACAGACAAACCACCAAATTGTGGGACCCTTATTCAAAAAAAAAAAAAAAAAAAAAAAAAAAAAGCCCTTCGCATCACCTTCATGTCATCCAAGCCCAGAGGTAAAACTCCTTCGACAGTAAGACTGTGTCATCAGACTTTCACCGACTCATCAAGCGCTACCGTCTTCACTCGAATAGAACGCCCGGTCATTATAGCTGCATCTGGACTGAAAATTGCACCAGATACGGCTATAATGACCGGGCGTTCTATTCGGGTGAAGACGGTAGCGCGAGTGCGCTAACCGGACCGGTAGGCAAGGCCCTATCGCACTCCGGTTGACTTCCTCGTCATCTTCAAGGAAGGCGAGGGTCCTCCCCGCCATAGCCCACCACTTTGAGCGGACAGAGTGGAGGAGAGGAGATCCCCCTCGGGAGCCCTTGGGCATAAAGGCGCTACGAGGACAGCAGCGGAGGACAGCAGCGGAGGACAGCAGCGGAGGACAGCAGCGGAGGACAGCAGCGGAGGACAGCAGCGGAGGACAGCAGCTGCAACTCCGACGGAGATGGTGTCAACAAGGAGTCTACAACAAGAAGCGGACAAGCGGCTCGCTACTCTGGAGGAGGGTCGGCAGCAGCTCCAGGAGCTCGTGCGGGTTCTGGTTTCGACAGCAAAACACTCACCCGAGGTTCAGTGGGGGAGGACACAACCCAGCAAATGCTGGATATCATCTGGATACTTGAGGAAGGGACGGATCCTCAACTGGATGATATTATTGATTGGAAGCAGGCGGGCGCGCTCATGCATAGATGCTATGACCTGTTTGGAGAAGGAAGAAACCTGCATGCAGCATTGGAAGAGCGGTCACACCAGGAGTACTCTAAGAAGGAAGGACAGGCACTGCCCAGTGACAATTACAACAACGGTGCTGAAGGCGAAACGATGGGGGCGCAGGGTGAACCACAGCGTCTTCAAGCTCCTCAAGACCAGATCGCGGAAACATCACCAAGCGATCTTCCAATGATATCGAAATTAACAACAACAGCAACAGAAACGACGTCAACATCATCGACATCAACGATGACATCAACATAAACGACATCAACACCAACACTGAAAACAACAAAAATGATTACAGCACCATTAACAACAATAACGACAGCCATTCCAGCGCAGATCACGGCGACATCTGATGGCACGGCTCGGGTGGCATCAAGAGCCATCACAACACCTGCCGCAACGACACCCATCCACGTCATGGGGACATCTGGCAATTTCCCCCTTCTCTGTCCGTTGTACACTCATCTTGATCCGCTTCTCTTGGTTGGGCACAGGATGGGAGTAGGATAGATGATTTCCCCTTCACCGATTGGAGTTGCCTGGCCCACAACTTCCAATCACACTGAGGTAGTCAATTGATTGCTTAGGGTTTCATGTGTGGATTCAATTTGTCTGTTGTGCAAGGGACCTGACTGTCCACAACTTGCCAGAGTGTATCAAATTGCATGCCAAGATATCATTCACACAGATTATGAAGCTTCACACAAAGCAAAGTCGAGATGGAATGAGAACCAAGGTAACACAGCTTATATTATCACAACAACATTATAAAGAGTATCTCGAGTTCAAGAGTAAAGCGCCGAAAAGTATCACTAGTCTCCCTTGTTCATTAACAACACAGGGGCCTGGCTCTGCCAGCGCCTCCTCCAGATGACAATACAGCGCGGAACAGGTAAGTATCCACCATAGCCAACTCAGGAACCTGTCCCTCTCTCTCTCCTCTTGCTCTCTTCTTTCTCAAGATCCCTTGTCTTGGTCCTCTCGTCCCACCATGCATGCACACTCCTACTACGAGAATCTACTCTGAATGCTACTCACTGAAGACTACCTCTAACCCTTCTAGCTCTACTAACATACTGGCGCAGCTTTGGCTGCTTCTGCCAGCCAGCACCCAGCCCATTCTCTCCTCTTGCGCGGCTTCTTCTGCCAGCGCTTCCCCAGCATGCTAGCGCACAAGTGCCTTCAGCACTTCCACGCAACAATGCCACTGGAGATCTGTCTTGTGGGGAGGCTGGCTTGGTTTCTTATACTGCTGGCCTCCCTTCGTGAGGTCTGCATTGGCACACTTGGGTCTTCCCTGTCCCAGACCTCTGCAGTGTGTGTCCCAGTACCTTTCCTTCAGGGTGTGTTGCTGCTGCGGCCTTCAGGCCTGAATTTCGGACTTGGGGTTTGAACCTAGACCTCATGTTACACTTTGACTGGACTGGGACCTGATCCTGGACTTCCCTCCGAACAGACACAACTTCAGTCTGAACAGACACACCTACTGCCCAAACAGACACATGCCCTGCTTGAACAGACATGACTTGCACACCCCCTGGATGAACAGATGTGTCCCCCACAATTAGTTGATTCGTCATTCAGGGTTTGAATCGGGTAAAGACCCTTTTAGTTGGAGTGATCGATGAGAATGCTTTTCGTTTGCTCTCACAACAAGGGCAGGAGGTCAATCCTTCCCTAACGCAGGGGAGTAATCAATGCCCCTGCTCGGTAGGGACACATGGACTCCGCTGCTATACGACATATACAGTTCTTACGAACATATTCATACTTTCTGGGATGCTTGATAAGACACATTTGTGGATCATTGTATACGGACGCTGGACCCGATTTCCAGCTGGCACACATCACATCATTGTATAGGGACGCTGGACCCGATTTCCAGCAGGTGCAGCTCCCCACTAATAGATGGAGCCTTCAACGCAGGGGCCCACTTAACGGGGCTGCTCTTACCACCTCGTTCAACCACTAGTACCTTTCCCGCGTGGGAAAATAGGGAAAACTGGCTATCCTGAAAATTCGGAGGCCGGGCCCGACGACAAACGAAACAACAGCCGCCGATCAGATTTATCAATGGCAGTCGTTTCGTTTGTCGTCGGGCCTGTCCTCCGAATTTTCAGGATAGCCAGTTTTTCCTATTTTCCCACGCGGGAAAGGTACTAGTGGGTTTTCCCACATACGAAGTTATCATAGAAAAAGAAAAAAAAAGAAAAAAAAACTCCGACAGTAAATATGCCAGGAAAACATTGCAGGGCAAGCCAAAACCATTAGTCGGAAAAAAAAAAAAAAAAAAGTTGCGGGACAAATTAGAACGGACACACAAACCACCAAATTGTGAGACCCATTAAGAAAAAAATAAAAATAAATTGTGGGACCCCTTTGTCTGCTTAGAGGGATGATGTCTGCCCCTGTTTCTCCATGCCAGTTCCATGAAAGGGGGAGGGGCAGGGGGAGGGAGACACAGAGAGAGAGACACAGAGAGAGAGACAGAGAGAGAGAGAGAGAGATACACACTTGCAATATTGGACAACATGTGCGAGGCTTTACTTTCACAGAATACACGTCCTGTCCATGGCATGCGACCAAAACAGTCGCGATTACCCTTCTCTACCTCTCTGCTCTGGTAATCCTTTCAGCCATTATCAACAATATATATACCCTTTGGTCCAAATACTTCCCCGTCCGGCTGAACCCTAGTCCCTGCAGTCTCCTCTCATCATCGTGTCATCGTCGCGTTGCTGAATTCCCACGGTCCAGATGTTCCTGTAGTCGCGATATGTCGAAAAAATTCCTTCTCCGAAAAATCCACTGTGTCTTTACGTCCCTTGAAGCATCATCGTCATTGCTGCTGAATCGTGCTGATATCGGATATCTTGATGCTCTTCTGGTCGTGATGTGCTGAAAAATTCATTTCCGAAAATGTTCTGCGTCTTCATGTCCCATGAAGTAACCCGATAACGCTTTCAGGTATCCTTCAATTACATCCTTTTTTTTGTCCTCGTTTGTGAATTTTATTATTATTACAAAATTTGGATTTCAAAATTTGGACTTTGCTTTTTTGTCCTTGTTTGCAATGCTTTTCACGAATATCCGAGCGTTGTACCGGTTCAACTTCCGAGTTCATCGATTGTATTTTTCTTGGTCGGTACGTTTTTGGCGAGCCCCGTTTCGAATTTCCTTTTTGACTATTTAGTTCTTTCTGTATGATCTTATATTCACACTTTTGGAAATTCCTACCCGGCCTTCTCATTCGAATTTCGACAAGGTTTTTATATTCCGACATGTTTTTGTGCGATTCCTTTGATACTCTGAAG